GTGACATGAACACCCCCAGCCAGGCTGGGGCAGGCACAGCCACCGTGGCTGCACCAACGTCTGCTGGGACACTCGCAGACACGAGTGACGGTCCAAGCTGGCCGTGCGGTGGTGGCCATGCCCTCCACATGGCCTTTGCCAGCTCCACCTCTGCTCTGAGGCCTGGGAGTGGCCTGAAGGGCTGCCATGCCACAAACTGGCCTCCCTCCCAGCTCACCAGAAAGTGTGGGATGCCAAATACCGGCTGCTCCCAAGTCCAGTGGAGTAGTGTGGTGGATAATCACATGGGACGTACAGCTGAGAACTCCAGGCAGCAGGTCTGGCAGCACTCCCTGTTTGTGTATCTGAGAGTGAGGGCGAGCAGACCTGGCTGGGATCACCCTTCCTGCCTGCCACAGGCCAGGCCAGGGTCCTGCTCTCCCTGCCAGAGGTGCTGTGGCCAGGAACCACACACACTCCACACCAACATGGAGCAGCTGTGGTCAGACTCTGCCATAGCAGAGTGAGGGTGATTCTGTTGAGCAACTTCTTGGCCTTTGTCTAGTTTTACCAGGATGCTGCAAGCATTCAGCCTCTGGCCCTTCTCCTGAGGAGAACTTGCAGTTCCTGAACGCAGCACCTCTGGCAGGGAGAGCAGGGAGTTTGTCAGGGCAGCCTGTTTCTCCCTCTGCCATCCTGATATCCTGCAATCCCACAGTGACCACATCTACTGAACATTACTGCAATTTAACACTCTCACTTCTGAAAAAAGAAGTATTAAATGCTGAAAGGTGAAGGAAGAAGTGTGATTATGATTGTCACAAAACATAAACCAGATCTGGTGTGAGAACAGAGAATACAAACTAAGGATTCATCCCAGGGAGCTACGAGGTCTGTAATGCAAAATATAAGAGAATCATTATTTATTAGTTGTCCAAGCACAAGTAGGGAGGCACCTGATTTAACTGTTATGCAGCAGGTTTGAACAGCCACAGAATTTCCTTCTTCACAGCTAAAGGGAGAATTGCCAGGAAGTTGTAGAGAGGAGTTACACAAATGGAATCAAACAGATCCTGGAGACAGAGTATGGTCTAGCTGGACATGTGTGAATCTCTGCAGTTGTGCCAGCTCTCCATTCTCTCCCTTCAGGGTCCAGCCAGAAAACATGGATAGCCCTTTCTTTATGAGAAAACCCTTTTCCACTGGGGCTCCAAGAAGCCCTCCACAGCTGTTACCTTATCCATTCGGTCCCGCTCTGTTCCAAATTTGCCTCCATAGCCATAGGAAGCCTTGGGGCCAGTCTCCATCTCCTTCTTCTTGATGACCTCATGTTCCTCTGACACCTTGTTCCTCAGCTGATGGATACTGGTGAGACAGAGACAGGGCAGGTCAGTGTGGGATGGAGCAGAGCTGTGCAGCCAGCTGGAGCATCCCTGTGCCCCTGCCCCAGCCAGAGGCCAGCACAGAGCAGGACATACACCCACTGCCAGCTGCCATCGTGGGCCCGCTCTGGGTTCCCCGGGGTGCCAGCCACACACGCAGCCACTGTGCTGTGGCAGAGAGGGTGGTACCCCGGGGCTGCCGAGGGACCAGAGCAGTGG